GCCAGCTGCCCGCTCGCTCACCCCCCGCCTGGCCGCTTCCCCTCTTCCTCCTCCTCCTGCCTCCGCCCGCCCAGCCGCTTCCCCTCTTCCTCCTCCTCCTCCCCGCTGGCCATGAATCTCCAGGGCAGGCCCAGGCAGAGCCCTGGGCAACCGCCGCCAGCGCCGCAGGAGAGCCGTCCACTCTATATTTTGAGTGGAAATGTTGGGAGGTCGTCTTATATGGCCAGTCACCTTGTATGCCGGCAAATACGGTAATCTTGATATAGCAGATATTAACTTGGAAGTACTAACTATAAATAAGCAAAGGAATAATTGGTAAATTGTTTAACAAATGATGGGAAGTTCTATAATGTCTTTCTTTTGAAGAATCTGTTAAACCAGTTTGCTCCTATTTGAACCCCTTCCCCCTAGTGTATACTTTGTATGAGAAACTAACTTAATTAAAAAGTGAGAACACTCATCGTATAGCTAAAAATAATTTCAGCTAGCAGCCTAAGGAAGTGACAACTTTGCAGTTTTACATAAACAACTGCAAAGATAATAGCACTTTTTCTTGTTCTGGTCTCCAGGTTGTTGTTTTTTTCCATCAATGAAGGCTAAAACCAAAGATAAAGTTTTCACTGGTATGCAGAGCAGAAAATGTGTATAAACCCATTGATATCAACAGGGCAGTTTAAATATACAGTACAGTGGTGCCTCGACTTACGAACATCCCTACTTACGACCATTTTGAGTTACTACCAGCTCCAGCCGCAAAATTTTGCTTCGACTTGCGACCAGAGCTTCCACTTACAAACAGAAAAAGGCAGGGGAAAAAGGCGGAAAATTCAAATTGCTAACTGTAGGTGGTGACGAGGCTGCTTCTTTGTAGCTTTTTTGCCCCTGCAGTTAGAGAGTGTATGATCGGAGGAGGTTTGGGACTTCCTCACTTCTGCTTCTGAGTAAGAGACTGCGTGTGTTTGCAGGCAGGCTTCAGGCTGCCTGGTAAGATAAGGTGCTGTTTTCTGCTTTTTAAAAACTGTTCTGGGTGTTTTTGCAGTGTGGTTTTGGGCTGGGTGGGTTATGTTTCTGTGTTGTGATGGGTTTTGGGGGTTTGTCTGTTTTTTTTTGTTTCTGTACTGTGATGGGTTTTGGGGGTTTGTCTGGTTTTTTTGTTTTCCCACCATTTCCCACGGGTCTTGGGGGGTTTGGTTGCCTTTTTGGGGTTTTCCCCAATTTCTGATGGTTATTGCATGCTTCCCTTGCTTTTTCCTTTGTTTTCCTTGCATTTCTGACCTGGTCCCTTTGTTCTCTGTGCATTTCCGATGGGTCTTGCACGCTTGATTGCTTCCCCCTCTTTCAGCTGGAAGGGATTACTCATTTTTCCAATGAGTCTTGCGGTGATTTTTTTTGGTGATTTTTACCCCCCTTCGGCCAGAATAGATTAATCACATTTCAATGCATTCCTATGGGAAATGGTGCTTCGACTTACGACCATTTCGAGTTACATCCATCTTCTGGAATGGATTATGGTCATAAGTCGAGGCACCACTGTAAGAGAAATACACTGCAAGTAGGGGCCTAACAGTTCAAGGCCATGCCCACAGAGGTGAAACAGAGTTCAATTATACCAGATGGGAGGGGGGTTAGAAGTGTGACCTGACAGGAGCACAAGTGTGTACCCTCCACTCTTCTAAATATTTTCCAGTCGCTTTCAATTTCAGAAATAAATCCAACCCTGAACCTAAACCATCTGGCAAAGATGGATTATGGCCATAAGTCGAGGCACCACGGTAAGAGAAATACACTGCAAGTAGGGGCCCAACAGTTCAAGGCCATGCCCACAGAGACATTCATTACCATTTGACAAATCCATCACACATGGCACATGCCAATATTTAAGAGAAACCACGCCTATGTGGAAATCTGGGGCTTCCTGAAAGCAGGTTTTGAAGTAAACAGGCTACAGGTTTTACAAACTTATTTAAAAGTGAAGTCATTCAAATGGAAACTCCATGTTCCTGTATTACAGAATTCCAACAAGTCAAGAAATGCATGTTTCTTTGCAAAATACATAATACAGTCCTATTTAAAGAATCCCATGGTGCCTGACCCTTTCCCAAGCAAGTGAAATATTCATGTACAGAGGGATCCACAAAGGGGATTTTCTCCTCTTGACACTCAGGATCACCAGGCGTTATGGGAAGCTGTTGCCATAGCTATCCCTCCCATGTTCTTATACAGTCCATTCCCTTTACTGTCAAGGTAAAGGGAATGCATGGAACTTCTCACTTTCTGGACTGTCCTGGTGCTGTGCCTATGCCCCCATGTGATAACTTGGGAAGAAGAGATGAAACAGAGTTCAATTATACGTGATGAGAGGGGGGTTAGAAGTGTGAACTGACAGGGGCACAAGTGTGTACTCTCCACTCTTCTAAATATTTTCCAGTCACTTTCAATTTCAGAAATAAATCCAATCCTGAACCTAAACCATCTGGCAAAATATACTCCGTAGAACAGTAGTTCCCAAACTTGGATAACCCAGGTATCCTTTGATTGCAATTCCCAGAAACCCTGGCTAGCACAGCTGGTGGTAAAGGCTTCTGGGAATTGCACTCCAAGAACACCTGGGTTATCTAAGGTTGGGAACTACTGTCTAGAAGGTGTGTGTGGCTTTTTTGAGTGAAAAAAGGAAAACTCACTGAGGGCACATCTCTTTTGAGGTTCTGCCTGGGAATGTGTGGTGCCCTAGGTCTCTGGAAGATGCACCCCCCCCCACTCTATAGTGGTTGGTATAAGCACAAGAGCAAAAAAATGTTCAATATGTTTAACTTCATCCTGTCCAAATTGTCACCCAATTATTTCCCATAATTTTATCACATTTTTGCTACAATATCCTTTTGTAGCAAATTATGTACAGATAAATAAATGCATTTAAATACCGCCAACATTAAATGACACTGCAGGAGAAGCAGGAGGTATTATTTGCAATTAAACACAAAAATGTTTCCTTATAACAGTTATCTTAATCTCCAGTTCACGCAATGCTGGCATTCAGTCTGTTCTGTAGTCTTAGAAGAATTCACAATTGTCATTAATGAAATATACTTTACCTTTTGCATGCACATGTCAGCTATTATGGACAGAGGAATTGTAAGGCTCAAAGCAAGTGTGCCTATCAATGAAGAGGTAAGAAAGCAGCCCCTAGGAAAATGATAAAAGACATATATTTGAGTTTAAAAGCTGAAAAAGTACCAGCATTACTGCAAAAATAATTGCAGAAGCAATTTTCTTGATTATACACTATTCATAAAAGGTGTAAAGACTTGTAAGGACAATTGTTAAACTCTAGGTGCTTAGGATAGGAGACACTTTATTATTTGGCAAGTTCAATACTTAGAGCCTGCCTTAGCTGCAGAGATGGTGCTGAGCCCACAGATTATACATTGGTCAGAGGATAAAAAGAAAAGGACCTGGCCACCCCTTTAGATCTGATGATTCTGAAATTCAATTTATTGGCAGTTCTAATTGTATTTTCATCATTCAGTGATGCATTGATTGATGATCTGAGTGTCTCTATGATCCATCTAGCAGATCTAACTACTTTTAATTTCTATCATATGATGACAAGACAAATACAAATTCTGAGCAGACAGCAGATACATTTGGCTGTGAGTCATAAAGTGGTTAATCAAGCGGTGAGACTATAAGCGGTGATGTTACAACACTTTATTTTATTTATTTATTTATTTGATTTGTATCCCACCCATCTGGTCTGGTCAACCACTCTGCTTTTCAGAGATGTGGCTGTGTTCAAGACCAAAGCAGAAGTATTATGGCATTCTTGATACATTGACTTCAGTTGAGTTTATGTGGATTTCAAGCCAGACTTCAGACACAGATTACAATATCTGTGCCACAGGTGTATATAATATGTGCTGTATGAGAATGGCAGACAGGTTGAGGGAAATGAGAAACAGAAACTGATAATAGCGTGTTAAGAACTTTTAATGAGCTTTCCAGGAATTTCTGTTGTATGTGCTGTCCAGTTGCTTCTAATTTATGACAGACTTATCAATTAGGGGCCTCCAATCATTAGCCTAATAGTTTAGTCATTTTCATTTCTAGGTAGAATCTAGACTTTATTTGATTTAGCACAAACTTACAGTATTTGTTTTTCTAGTCTCCATATAGCAATTACCCAACACTATATTACAAATGAGTCAGGAATGACCTTGATCTTGATCTCCACACATTTTTACTCGTAATGGTTTTAACACACGTAATGAACATTCAAGATGTTGATAATAACATCCTGACAATAGGGGGATGAAAATGATTTCAGTTCTCAGAACATGAAATTTCAAGAAGTGGTTGGTAATGCTGGGGCCAAAGTTTTAGTATGGGAGTGTGGCCAAAAGGAATGAAAAACAAAAGAAAACATATTCATGACCTTGCAAGGTGACAATGACATAATTAATATAGGTAGTAGACATTTAAAGTGTTGATTGCATTATCATCATGGCAATGGGTAGATGCAAATAAGATGAGTTTTCAAGAACTAAAATAGGATGTGAGTTTTCAGGACATAGTGCTAAGGTCAACATTTTACCAAAAAAAAAAAAAATTGCTTGTATACAAGACTGCAGAGAAAGCCAGTTGATTAATATAAGGTATGTAGTATCCTAGAAAGTCCCAATCTCTATTTAATCCGCTAGATGCACACAAAAATTTACAGATATAATCAGTCTCCTTCTCACAATTTTTTCTTGTAATTCCTTTTTTCTACAACACTGACAGAATATTTTTGGAAATTGAAAATGTTCTGGCATCAGTTTCTCTGTGTTGCTCTTTCTGATGTTAGATTTATGTATCCTCTTGCACAGAGTGTCCTATCTGCCCTATGCACTGCTGGCTGATGAACAAGTAAATGAACTCCTAACATTATGGGCAACATTGTTGAGATGTGTAACAGTGCTGTCAAAGTAGGTGTAGGGACACAGTTAACATCTATTTCAAGCAGGATGTTGTCTTTTTCTTTGTAGTTGTACTGCCTGATCAGGGTCAGCAGCTGTTTAAGGCTGAGGAGAGCTATCTGTAGTGAGCACAGACCAACTATTCAACTTGTGGGAGAGGGAAGTATTATTGCCTATAAGGATTTATTGCTCACTGATGATCAGTGTTGGTGGTATCAACATTTAAACTGGGGTATTGATTTCCAAATTTGATTCTAGGTAATCAATGCTGGTTAATGGGAAAGTATCTGTACAGTAAATCCTTGGGAAACGAATTAGGGCTGATGAATATAGAAATTACACAAGAAAGCTGCAATCCTGTTGAGTAACTCCATGGTCGTACAGGTTGATCATCTATCAACTTTAATTTCATCGTTTCTATCTATCCCTCCTGGCTCTGAGGTTCTATAGAGATCCCCTTCAACTTGAGGAGAACTTGGGGAGTCTCAGGATCTTTAATATCCAAAAATTGCTGCCACTAGTCCAGTGCTGGGATCAGAACCAGCAGTAGCAACTGCCAGACATTAAAGTCTTCTCCCCTATTCTCAGGCTCCCAAATGTCACAAGGAATCCTAGGGAGCCTCAGAATGTGAGTTAGAAGACAGGGAAGTTTAAATTAAACTTTAATGTCTGTAACTGGAGATGGGGGTATTCGTATTCGTACACAAATATGAATATCCCTACACAGGTGGAAATAACCAGGACTGTCCACTTACAATTTCCATGAAGGCTTCCTATCACACTGTGCTCCGCAGTGGATTAGCCACTCTTTGACCTAGCAGAGAGGCTTGTTAATCCACTTCCTGCCAGGACTGGGTAATCAACTGTGGACAACAGTGCGATAGGAAGCCTCAGCAGGAGCTGGCAGCAGCGGCAAAATTGTGAGTGGACAGTCCAGCCCCATGGGGCCGGACCCTCATTATTTCTAACTGTGCAGGGATATTCGTATTTGTATACAAATACCCTCATCTCCTGTAACCAATGATGTCATAAGCCCTTATGCCTGTGCAGCTCTGTCAACAGGATTTCACCCAATGCCTCTGATCCAATTATCCACATGTGCAGCTTTGGGCACCAGCGTGTTTTCTTCCATCTGCTTGCTCATGTGTATACTGTTCTTCACATCTAAAACTGCTGTAGCTATTATGCAAGTAACCTTCTCCAAGCCAAATAATAGCAATGAGAATACATTTTCACATGCTATTGCTATAGAGAAGCATTTATTGACAATTCACAGTGCTATTATGGCCTTAAATGGCTCATGGTTTTGTAAGGTTGTTAAGAGAGAAACTGAATGCATCTAGATTTCATAGTGTCGTGCTCATGTGGACAGAGTACATTGCTATGAAAGTTTCCCAACTGGGTGCTGAGGCACTCTGAGGATCACATGGTGGCAGTGATCGTTTTACTGGATGAGCAGCTAAATGACAAGTTATGTTTCTGTCCTAAAAAGACCAATCCAACACGTATTCCAACTTTCTTTCATTTAGAAGGCAACACTTATTTCTTAAAGATGACAGCATAAAATGATATCCTTCCAGATGGAGTACTTTGAAATAACCATTGCTCTGCAAATTGTCCTACCAGCTTCTTTAGTAAAACCCCATGCAATTTTACTTCTTGACCCTTAATAGCGAGCTGCTGTTAAAAGAAATGTAATATAAAAGAACAATGAGAACACTGCACGTACCACAACCAGAGGAATTCAGAGAGAACAGTTCCAACAAGGCCATTTATGACAATGCACATAAGAACTAATTTACTAGGAAATTCAAAGGCCTCAAATCCAGTATAATGTAGTAGGAAGAAACCTGGCCAAAGCAGCAGCAAATTAAACAAACCAACAAAGCCTGAAAAAAAAACCAGTAGCAATGTTAATAACAAAAAAGGGGGATGCATTTTTAACAAGTTACATTTTTGTACGAGTGCATTATGGACTTCTGCTATGCTCCATTAAAAATTCAATTGACATATCTTTGCATTAAGTTAATGGGCATGTAATTTCAGATGTCAAAAGCACATCATTTCATAAAGATTGACTCTCCTAATCTAGGATTATGTATTTCAGTCGAATATGCATACCACACTGTTCAGTTAACCAAACCATTAAATGCACAATCTTATGCATAAATTATGAGAAGTCTCACTACATTCATTTGGGCTTACTTCTAGTAAATGTGTCTAGACTTTTAATAACATGTGATCAACATTTCTCTAAACTGCGTGTGCATGTGCAGAGCTCCCTTGGGGCTACACAGCTTCTGCCGATGTTGGTGGCCATTTAGTTCTGAGTTTCAGATTAAACCCCGCCCCTCTGCGTGCGAATGGGGTCACATTGCATGGAAGAAAGGGTAAAGAAGATGGGCCTTACTGAGGCTGGATTACTGTGACATCAAAACCCATTTCTCTTGCAAGACCAGAAAAATAAAGCTATAATGACCGTAGACAATTCTTCTGGTAAGGGAGAAATAAGCGGAAGTGCTGGATCCTAATGTTACAATAATCAAATAAACCATGGGTGGAGGGTCCACTGTGTGTGTGTTTAGCTGCTCTCACTTGTAGAACATCTTTTTGAAATCTCATTCACTGTAACGTCTGAATGTACCAATTATGTGGTTAGATTCACACATTTTATGAACCACAAACATGAGACTTCTAGACAAAGTCATTATCTACATCTCAGTTAAAAGTTAATCCTACTGAGCACTAAAGCCTACTCAGTCATAAGCACAATACTGAATTTAAAGGTGTGATTACTTTCCCCTAAAATAAACAAAAACAACACCTTAAATTATGCACCAGGAGATTGACTGCTATGTACAGATTTTCATAGTATCCTTCAACAGACATGTCCAAGTTCTTTTACAATTAAAACAAATTCTCATAACAACAAATCAAATAAAAGAGACAGAACCAAAGGTGCTAAAATAGAGGTTTAAAAGACAGGGAAAATCCATCATAGCAGAAGTTTGAAAGACAGGGAAAACTAAAAGGGTATCACCAGGCACCAAGGTGATAATGACTGTGCAAGGTGCCAAGTGAGACTCCCTGAAAGAAAATTTTATATCCTGGGTATTACAAAGGAGACAGCCCTCTCATCAGTCACAATACCATTTCCCCTATGGCTTAGAGAACTAGCTCTGGTGATTATCTTAATCTACTGACAGGCTCGTGTGGGAACCTGCAGTTCTACCATTATTAGTTATTATGATAAGATATTCCCTCAGAGTACCTCATTGTTAGCCCATACAGGGCTTTAAAGGTAACTACCAGGACTTTTGACTGGTACAGAAACATAAAGGAACTCATCAGAGATCTATAAGAACTGCTAAAATGTGGCATCATTAACTTGTCCCACTTGGCTAGTGAGGTTGCCCCACATATTGCACATCATACTTGGAAGTCAACACAGTGTGGACAACCATGGCAAGGCTACAGTGAGGATGGACTACAGCAAATGTGCTAGACTCTGCACCTGAAAGGAGCTCTGTGTTAAAGATTACCCCTGGGTCTTCAGTGACAAAGCTCAATCTGTGGTGTAGTACAAGCCTGGAGGAACCTCTCTAAGAGATCTGTGTGTGATCTGACATTCCTGGATCCTCTTAGAAGTGCTTCTTCCAAGGATCTCCTATAGATTAAGGAAACAGCGGACGGCAGGCAGGTAGCATGCAGGAAAAAATATGATGGCTGGGTGACTTAATTCATTCAGCTACACCACTAAGACTGAAGATTCCCCCTTATCTATAGAGTTAATATATATAAACAAATATATACATGTAAACATAACATATACACACACACTTCATATCAATCCAATCCAATTAAGAACCTATCCAGGTTTGCTCTTATTATTTCAGGTAGATACCTTTTTGCAAAACTGAAACACAATGCACAAAATGTGGTGGGAGGGGGGGGGGTTTCTTTTAAAAAAAAAAAACAACTTGTGTTCTTACCAAAAAACATGGGTATATCAAGCTTGTCTTCTCTGTCTATTTGTCGTTTTATCATAACTATGTAGATTGCGTACAGCATAGCTCCCACAAGAGACCACAGGGACCCTGTGGATGGAAAAGACTCACGTCGGTTACAGTGCAAGATATTCACCACGGTATTACAAATGGAATTACTGACATAGTAACATGCTGTTAACATGTTTTATTCACACTCAAGAAAATTATGAAATGAAAAGAAAATACTTAGCACAACCACATACACATTTTTTAAAGAAAAAATATTGCTATTAAGAGGTATAACTGCTAACTATCAACTGTGTTACTACAAAAACAATGGGTTTTGATATAGTTATTGATGAATTTCTCAACAGCATACAATATTTACTTGGCCATGTCAATTTTCAGGTTAGGATTTTTGGGAAAATATACCTATTGTATTTCTTCCAGCAGATTTCTGAGACCCAGATAGATTCACAAGGACAACACCTCCAATGCTATTTGGAAAAGAAAATATATGCAATTATTAAATAATTCTGTATAGAAACTACATACAGTGTACAATTATTTTTATTATAATGTTATAATTATAATTCATACCATCATACTATTGTATTTTATACATCTTTGTTACATTTATCTAAATTAGAAAAAATAAACCAGGAATAACAGTATTTTAAAGTCTCGATAATCAACATCATGTAAGTCTCCTGAAATTATAGTAAAAAGTTATCTGAAAGAGAATGAATGTAAATTAGAAAAAATAAACCAGGAATAACAGTATTTTAAAGTCTCGATAATCAACATCATGTAAATCTCCTGAAATTATAGTAAAAAGTTATCTAAAAGAGAATGAATGTAACCTAAAGCACTTCTTTGTACTACTGTATTGTTCTGGTACAAACAGGAAAGTGGAGATAACAAATTAGCAACAGCCATCTCAAAACCAAAACACATGCCATCAACAGCAATGTTTTTTTTCCTATGAAAGGTTTGTTCATTAACAACAAAATAGGAAATAGTTGGGACTGATTCTTTTGCAGTAAATTCATTTGTTCTTATTCCTGATTGAAGAACAGAACAGTCTTCTTTTTCAAAATGAGTATCCTTCATGTCCTAGCATATGACTTGCCTCTACAACTACAGGGTATTAGAATTCAAGGGATGGGCAAAGTTTGATACTGTTTGAGTGCATCTTCAATAATACTTTATCACTTGTTTTGCTAGCTAGGATTAATGGGATATGCAGGATATCAGCATGCATTTCTCAGCAGGGATGGCACAGAAATATGGCAAAACAAATTATAGTTTCCTCTTCACAATATCCAGATGTAGCTAAACTAAGAAAGGATGCAGAGTTAGTCACAGCATCAGCCTTTGGACCAAATATTACTCCAGAAGCCATAGTTGGCTTCTCCTATATTTAACAAGTATCAAACAAGTTCTTAGATCAGGGCTGGGACAATTCTTCAGGTAGCTTAATTTTCAATGATATCACAAAGCTGTCTGATATAACACGTCCTTCTGGCCAAGTTAATATGTGTAGCTTAGGTTAAGACTGGGTGACAATTCTAACCTTAGGCTGCTTGTAGTAAAAATGGAACCATGGGCAACTATGGGTAGAAATAACAACTATCAAAACAGGAACAACTCTTTCAGCAGGCATTTTGAAAATGTGTTTTCCCCTGCAGCAGTACATAATCTACTGTGTCTAAAAATAGAGACAAAGCCTTCACCACTAAATCCAGCTATCTGAAAGACTATAAGAAAACTCAAACCTGTGGAGAGAAGAAAATTGGAGATTAAGGAGTCTATACTCCTACCTTAAAATGACAGCTAACAATTTTGAAAGGGTAAATCTGTCTCCACTGTTACTTGGAAAAACCGCAGCTAGGATTAAGGTAAATAATCCTATGAAAAGAAAAAAAAACTTTTAATTTTCATATTGTTTATANTTGAAAAACAACAACTGAAACATAATAGCTTTGATCCAGTTTAAGCTACTCTCATGTACAGCTCTTGGAAATAAATGTGTATAGTTATGTCATAACTAGAGTTGACTTCAGGAGGAGCTAGGTGTTACTACCGTAACTTAGCTAATACTGAATTTAAAAAAAATCTTAGAACATTGGTAGTACAGAGTACCAATGCCAAGTAAAATATTTGAAAAACTGGAATCAAACAGTACTGCATTTAGTAATTTGGGGGGGGGGGCAATTACATAGTGCCTGTTCAAATTGAACCTGTTCAAAATATTTTCAAAGGAAAACAGCTACCTTATTACATATTCTTCCAGCACACAATGAAGTCCTCCACATGTCTACTTAGCAATAAGTGCCAATGAGCTCATTGAGACTTATTCCCAGGGAAGTATGTGTAAAACTGCAACCATGTTCTTTTAGTAACTGAGATCCTTGATTCCAGCCATTGCTTTCTAGTCATTGTTTAACTCTTTACCCTGAAATAGGTCCATATTTGTGCAAAACAGAAATGATTTGTTATATGTGCCCTTTGTTTATGTTGTCATTTCCTCTCACATTTTTATGTCGAGTCAACAGTGATTCTGTAGGCAAAAATACATAACTGGTACCCTAAACTACTCAGTGTTTACTATTATTTATCTTCGAAATATACATTTCTCCCCTTTCAGAACAATGGTCAGAATAACTTTCAAACAATCCCATGAGAGGTGCTGCAGCACATTCTGCTTCTTTGATGTGGCTTCTAACAACTCAGCTTATTTACACCCCTGTTGCTTTTCTCAATAGAAAAAGATATTGGAAGTTGCAATCCTGAAACTTCTTCACCAGGTGTATCTCATTCTCCCTCTCTCGCACACGCGCACACACAAATGCAAACAGAACCATATTTTTCTTAAACATGCAGTTAATGGGGGGATTTAGGCAGCTCCAGTAAGTTTTAAGTGAGTTAACAGTGTTGGAATACTTGTTTCATCTCTTACCAGAGGTTGAAGATAGAATATTAACTATGGCCACTTGGGTGTCTGAAAGCGCTTCTTGATAAGAGAAGTTTGCCAAGAACCACTAGGATATTAAACAATAAATGTTAGTATAAAAGTTTGTTTTTTTAATTCCTATGATTTTTTTAAAGCTTCTGCTGAGTTTTTAGCAGTTAGAAATAACACAAAAAACCCAATCCAACTGTTAATCAAGTGTTTGAGCAGATAAAAATATGCTTTAAAATGTATGTATTAAGATGAAATGAAAAGATTAAGCAATCAGAACATCTAATTAACTTGGGCAATTAATATACTAATATTATGCAGGTTACACGAATTTTCTGGAAAAGAATACTGAATTTTATGCATATATTCTCCACAATTAGATATTAAATTATTGTTTGTGCAACACCCTAGAACGTAGTAATTAAAAAGTTTGGAAACATCAAAATGTCAACTATTGGCTGCAAATTTGAGACAGCTAGCTATGCTTAGGTCCTTTTAAGATTAATGTATTTTGGATTTTTATTATGGGGGGAATTGTGTTTGTGTTCTGTGCTGCCAAGTCAGAATTGACGAATGGTGACCCTAAAGGGCTTTCAAGCTAAGTGAGATATTTAAGGAATAATTTTACCAGTTCCACTCCCCCCGTGAGTTTCCATGGCCAAGTGGAGATTCAAATCCTGTTCTCCAGAGTTCTAGTCCATCATTCTATCTACTATACCACACTGGTAATCAAGAGGAAAGTTAGTCAAGGCTAATTTAACTTGGGCTAATTTTGCCTGGACAAAGGCCTACATTTTCATTGCATAAAAGATACCATGTAATTGCTTGACAACAGAATTTATCTTGGACAGGAAAAAAACAACACATGCTAAATGCTGAAAAAATCAGTCCTCTGGAAATTGTTAGCCACAATTCTGACATTGCCATGAAATTACTGGACAGAATCATTTAGCGTATGTCAAGTCAGGAAAAACTTCCTAACTGTTAGAGCAGTACAACAGTGGAACCAGTTACCTCTGAAGTTGGTGAGTGCTCCAACACTTGGAGGCATTCAAGAAAAACTCAGATAATCACCTAGCAGATACGCTTAGATGGTATTCCTGCACTGAGCAGGGGGTTGGACTTGACGGCTTTATAGGCCCCTTCCAACTTCACTTTCCTATGATTCTATGAAGTGATTAAAAATTATTCTGACCAGGATCCAAAGGTGTACACCTATGGACAAAATAAGGTCTGTGAGCAGTTCTAGGTATGGTGACTCCAATCGCTGTAAAGTCTTCATGTCCTTGAAATAGCAATCTTTCCATTCCCTACTCTTGGTGGAACCAGGTGTGTGCTCTGAAGGCTTTCCCCAGCATACGGAGCAGATACTGACTATTGTGGGGGACTGCCTTTCCCTGATCTGCTTAAAGAACTTCATTAAATTTACATGTTAGATCTTAGCCTAAGTCTGTGGATATGCACTCCAACTCGATAATACCAATGTAGCTTCACAAGACGTGTGGAACTGAGTTCAATTTGCTTGCATAGAAATATCCAACACACTTCAAAACATGGAAATGCAACACCTCTCTTGACTCTGAAAGCCAGTTCAGTATATACTGACTCTGGACCATCTAACTCAGATACTGGAATGTGTACAAATAATAACACAACTTATATTTCCATGTTTATTTCTACTGCTTTGGATAGTGGAGAGCTGGAAAATACAAATTAAAAATTTGACGAACAAAGAGTCCTGTGGCATCGTACTGATTAACAAAGGCATTAAGCATAAATATTCATGGATTATGAATTGTCCACAAAAGTTCATCCTATAATACATTTATTATGGGAAGTCTTTAAAGACCCACAGGACCCCTGTTGGCTTTTCTGTAAAAGGTTATCAGAACAAATCCTTCAAAAATGACTAAAAATCTACTGCATTTATATTCTAGATGATAGCATTACACTTAAATTCAAAATATCAGCAATACATTATAACTGTATGCTTTCACCTGTCTGATCACTGGTAGGAAGTTTTAATTACTGTGGGTAAATGTTAACCAATGGCAATTAGAGTGAAGGGCACATATTTTTAAGTGCTTCACATGTTGGAGACTTATGGTAACAGACAATGAAAATATTAAAGATGGCCTTTCCTCCTAGTAATAAATTATAACTCTTATTTATTAAAGCAAAACACATTTTAAATCTAATCAATTGATCATTTTAAAGGCAATTAATTAATTAGTGACAAGCCCTAGAAATTACCTCTAGGTCTCAAAATGATTAAAAACTAAGTTAAATCATTAGGTCTGTTAGTAAGGGAGACTGAAATACTTCAGACATCTTCAGTTCTGTCAGTATTATATATTGAAAACAATGAAAACAGCCAACATACCACAAAGCAAAAGAAAAAGCTGATTTTGGCTACTTGAGACGCGGTAAGCTTCCCTACAGCTTTTAATATTGAGTCCTGTTCCTTAACTGGTGGATAAGACATTCGAGACAGCTTTGCTTCCAATGCATGACTTGATGGGAGTTGTCGAATCTCCATAATATTACTGAACCTCACACGAGGCTTTTTGGGAGCTTTAGGGGGAAAAAGTGATGCAGGTCATTATAAGTATTAGGCTGGAATAGAAAAACAATATTTGAGATGAGGCCCAGACCATCAAATCATAATGCAGATCCATATTTAACTATTTGCTTGCTGGGTTTTATCAGAGCAAAATGGCTTGTGTCAGTAGCGGGGAGGGGGGAAGCAAGGTGCAACTGAAACTGCATGTTTCTGTCTCTATAGGATGTATTCACATGTTTCTGTCTCTACAGAATGCATTAAAAGGACCAGCATTTCTCAATTTGGGGGGAACTGATTTTCCCTCTAAAGACAGCTTCTTTTTCATGAATGTGGTTCTCAAAAGAAAAACCAAGCTAGGTATTTACTCCTATACCCTAACCTTAAAGTAAGACTATTACACCATCTTGTGGTCAAATGAAAAAACGGTTTAGATAAGCAACCAACAAAATGTTTGTGTTGTTCACCTGAATTTGTTTCCTACAGAAATAAAAGCATAGCATGGAGGAATGCCTAAACTTCTAATCTACACTGTTTTGCTCAACAAATACAGGTAAACAACTTTAAGATCTAACTTACGAGGATTTCTCAATGAGGTGTAGAATGTGCACTGCAACACACTATGAGTGTCTGTGGAAGCAGTAAAGCTGCTGGCACCAACTGATGGAAACAGGCAAGTTAGTAGAAAAGGCTGAACTTTTTAATCAGCTGTCAGTGAGTCCAATGTCTATCTCAATAAGATCCTACAAACCGTTAACTAACAGTTCAATTTCTTTCACTAAGTTTCCCTTCCCTGGCAACCGGGTTAACGTATTTCATGTCCTGTATGCCATGTTAACACACATACCAAGGATGAGTTACCCTGTGATAAATGCAATATCAAATTTATAATAAATTTTGCCTCAGCATTTACTTATTATTCTTTGCTTGTTCACTCTGCACACTTTCCACAAAATGGTGCTCAAGACAGTTAAAGCACCTATCTATATACTCTCAGTATTAAGTTTTCCAATCATGTAATGTTATGCATGTCTCTGGAAATGCACTAAATAATATGGAACTATATGAAACATCTAACATTCCAATTAAGATATATTTAGCATGTATCTCACTTTAGCAACAGGCTAACTTTACTGCTTTCAGTACGAAGTTTAAAAATTGAGGCATCTTCAACTTGATTTTTTAATTTATAACAGATGTCATATATTTTAGTGATGTACAGTACTTGTTCTAAACCAGAATTCTGTTAAATACCCTTGCTGACATAACACCATTAGTATAAATCTCAGCTGTAAATTCCAACAGGTTAAGAACTCAGTGTGACCATTTGCTGTTGCACACCAGTTGTGTGATAACAAAAAATGATTATGATTGCTTCTTCATGTGTGGCCATTTGTGGCAGAAATTCATAGTGGCAGAGTTACGCCAGAATAATTTTTCAGATAGATTCTTGTCAGAGCGCAGAGTGTAAGGATCTAAATGTAAATCTTTGTGTACAACAGAAAAATGCTCAACTATCAGCTTTAACACAGTTTGCAAAATCCTGTTGTGTAAATTTACGCCAGCAGATGCTGATGGTCATCAGCTAGCACAGATAAAATTTAATTTAAATTACTTTAAAGCTTCCTATTTTCTTGTGTTAGATTGCGAGGCTTCCTAAGGCTCCCTTTTGCCCTGGGGAAGCCTTGCAGCCTTGGGAATGGGGAGAAGCCTTTATTCACCAATAGAGATGGGCATGAAGCATTTTATTTTATTTTACTGATTGATTGATTGATTTGATTTATACCCCGCCTATCTGGACCAGTGGACCACTCTGCCAGGTTGTCTTAAGTCGTCAGTATAGCATCACAGGTGCCACACATTCCCTATGCCCACCCTCCACCAGATCCACCCACCCACCAGCTGGCACGCACTGCTTGTTCCCATCATCTAGTCTTCAAGTCCCAGCAGGAGCACAGATTGCCCTTCCCCACCTCCTCCAGCAACTGCCCATTCACAGGCAGCACTGTAGGAATCCCTGTCCCGCCTCCTTGTCTGAGCGGGCAGCTGCTAAGGAGGTGGAGAAGGGAAGTCCAGTGTGCCTGCTGGAACTGGAAGATTGTGCGACAGGGAGGGAACGAGTACTGTGCACCGGCTGGTGAGCAGGGGAGCTGGGTGAATGTGGGCAGGGGTAGGTAATGCACAGCACTGATAACTTAAGGCAACACGGCATGAAGTGCTTCATGCTCATCCTTAATCACCAAAAACCACTGGTGGATTGCCAGCACTTAGATCAGAGGTAATCTGTTAGAGATTTTTAGTGATTAAAGTCACACCATTCCCATCCCAAGGCTCCTCCCAGGGAAAAAGGAAGCCCTAGAAAGCCTCAGAAACTGAAAGGTTGGGGACAGAAAGAGTTCTATTAGCTTAAATTAAATTTTACTGGTACCAGCTTATGTTATCAGCTTCCGTCAGTGAAAATTTATACCAACTGGATTCTGGCCAGTATTAAATGAAAATTACAAAGGCTATATAGATAACAGAAAACTTTATTTAAAAATCTTAACTCACCTTTTTCATTATCACTGTTAGTGCTGCTACTTTTTTCATTTGGCAAGTCATGAAACTTTACAGGAACATACAAAGGTTCACTCTGAAATGTGCATAACAAATTCCTGGTTATTTATCACATTACCAAGAAACAAAATGAGCAACTAATAATATTGGAGAACTGGATATTTATAGGCAAAGACATACATTTGTTACACTAAAAAAAGCCTCTCTCTGTTCTACTGGACAAACTCCATTTTTTCAGTATTGCATAAATGGCATATTTACTTGCAATAAATCCATGAATCAAATACAGCAGAAATCATGAAAGGCACAGGAGACTTCATTTCCTTGCTCTACAATCCTCTACCCTTTAAAACAAGTCTAATGTCCCACATCCAAAATTGTTATGACAGTTGTGAACTACCCTGTAAAGTAGCATGTTAACTTTGTCAAGAGAGCAAAGGTGAGGCTCGCTTTTGCAATGTTATCCAGGAACCAATGAGGTTGTAACTGCAAGGGCCTGTTGTAATTCTCCCGATACTTCAAAACCATTTCCACCATAATTGGACAGATCTTTGAAATATAATACAATGGATATCTCCATGGATAATGATGCATTACATTCCATACAAACCTTCCACAACTTTTCTCTGTGAAGATTCTCAGTCATCCAGGTGAGGTTATCTGGATGTTGAGTCATGGCAACTGGACTTCTTTCTTGTTAGGTTGAAACGTTTTACTACTCATCCAATTAGCTTCTTCAGTTTGAGGAGAGTTGGTAGGAAATCCCTAATATATTCTCCACTGTTGGTTTCACTTCCCCCTGGTCTGAATAGGCTCATTAGAAGGACAAAGGACTAGGGGTGAGTGAAAATCCAACTTCTGCAGTCCTCTTCCACCCACTGTCATGGGTCATTAACAGTCATTAACACTGGTATTTCTGGTGTGTGTGGTCCTAATCTTTATCCCTCATCCCAGTCCTTCATCCTTCTAATGAGCCTATGCAGATTAGGGGGAAGTGAACCCAATGTGGAGGATATATCAAGGATTTCCTACCAGTTTTCCTCAGACTGAAGAAGCTACTTGGATGAGTAGCGAAACGTTTCAACCTAGTAAGAAAGAAGTCCAATTGCCATGACTCAACTTCCACAACTTTGGACGGTTAGTTGGCAGGCTAACAGTAACCAAATTAAAATATTCATAGGCTACCTTTCTGGCCCAACAGGGTCCATGGTGGCAACCTGCTGATCAGAATGCCATTTTCATTTAATTACTGTAGTTTAACTCTTACATTTGTTTGTGTAAACCAGAGGGATGCCAATAGTGGCCCTTCAGATTTTGCTAAATTGCAATTCCAATCAGCCCTAGCCAGAAAAAGCCAATGTATGCAGTGAAATAACAACTAGAGAACCACATGTTGTCTGCTCCTGGTCTATAGCTCAATAATTTGGTTCCAAAGGCACTCTTCTTCAAAGAGGAAGCTCCTTCGGCTCACCAATGTGTTCTTTCTGACAAATCAGCAGAGTACTGTGTCAGAAAACAGGAATCTACGTATTGTCTTTTAGCTAGTTGAACTTGGGGACTTGAGAAATTTAAGATGGCCATTGCTTGCAAACAAGCACTTTCTGATGGACAAGTGCATGCCTCCTCACCCCATCCTACCATTATCTGTTGCACCGTAATGGGGAAGGTCATACATCCCAGACACATATGTGGACTTGCACGATTCATTTGTACAAAATCTTCTACTAACATTACTATGAGGTTTGATGGGACAGCATTAATTGATCTTGTTGTGAACATGCTTCTTTCAATTCAGCTCTATGATAGTTCAGTATCGTCTAGCAGGGCTTCAAGGCATAATCATGTTTTTCATATATTTTAAAATTAGTGAACTTTGACCAGGTGGAACAAGAATTGAAAGCTAATATGTACATCTGCACCAAAATACTAATTTAGATCAGTGGTTCTTAACGTGGGCGATAATGCCCCCCAGGGGGCGATTTCATTTTTCAGGGGGGC